ATGAACATCGAAGGGACTGTTTACTTTTGTATAGAATTGTCAGCAAAGAGTTATGTGAGTTAACCTAGTATTTAAATTATTTTCGTATCGAACCTGATGAAGAATCCATAAATAGTTAGTGTTAAAATAAATTCACGTTAATCCATATTCTACATAACGAGTTATGCCTGTATGTAGGTCTTTTATCATTGTATTCAATTTTCTTTTTAATTGATGGAATGAGAAAGAAAATAAGATTTTAAAGAATTGATTCAGTGCATAAGATGATGGATTTCTTCGATATTGGGAAATCTGAAGAATTATAAAAACCTGACTTTAACTATGGTTTTATCTGTCAAGAAGACAAGCCAGAAGTTCTTTGTTGTTCTGCAGATGGTAAATGCGTGAGACAAGGAATTGGTCATAAAGCAGGGATTTAATTATGGATTTCAGTATCGCAAAGTGTTTACCAAAGACAATAAATCTGGTATGCCTCAAAAACACAAAAAGTATCTTTTTCCTTTTTCTGTGAAAGATTTTGAAATGACTGCTTTGAACACTTTGAATACATAAGGATATCTCAGCTACTTTTTGCTTATTAACAAATATATCGACTTAGACAGTGCAGCTTATGTTTAAACTAATGGAGAAGTTATTAAAGAATTTTTGCGTTATGTTTGATTTTAGTCAACATAAAATCTAATCTTAATTTCACTTCGTATCGATAATGCACATGCTCAGAAATAGCGCATTTCATTTCACAAATAACTTTAGGTATGCTAAATTTAACTTAAGTATTTTAATAATGTATCAAAAGACGCCTTAGTTGGTGTAAGACAGTCGAGATATTTCTCCTCGGAAAAGTTTTAGCTTCTCTGAGAGTTAGAAAGAAGTACATGAAAATGAAGTCAATGCTATTAAAAAGAAATTTTCATTGTGGAATATACGAAAACGTATAGAACTACTTCTGAAGCATTTCACTAGAGAAGACATGTCGAATTTGTCAAAGTAAGTGCTTAACGTCTTATATTTTCATAATTTTATTGAAAATTTGAAAATAAATCTTAAATGAAGCTTATGACTGCAATTTACATGTATACTATATGTAGTTCTTTATTTACTTCACTTATAATCGCCAGTTGCAATATAAGCATAGTATATGTACTGTTAAGTTTATTATAATTGATTGCAGAATACAATAATTTTTAAAAATAGTGTAAGGGAGTGTCAATTTTAATTTATAATTAAAATACTACTACTAATTTTATTTAGTAAGAACTGATATTGGAACTAAACATAAAAGTTTGCACCATTACCGAATTCTGCTGATTTCTGCCGAAGTCAGCGATTTTTTCTTTAGTAGCAATTAGTCAGTTTAACACTGTTAATCATAACTTTGGTGTAAATAAGCTAAAACTAATGCCGAGTGTCAGGTGGTTTTGTTTACTTTCGTTATTAATTCTATCTGAACCGAGTAAAATATTATTTTTTTTATGAACTTAATATTTTCACAATTTTATATTCCTTTTTAAAAATCATTGTATTAAGAAATTGATCAAAATAAAACATTGGAGTACAACATATATTGCAATTAGAATAAGCATAATTTAAAATTTATGCTCACATTTTCAAAAAAATTAAAATCCAAAGAATTAGGTACTTACATTTTTATTAGTCTTGTCTTCTCTTCTAAAATGTTTTAGAAACATTTCAATAATAATATGGAGGTTTTGCATTTTAATATGTAGGTTTTTTTTATTATCAATTAGCACAAATTACGAAGTTCTATTCCAAGACAAATTAATTTTATCATTTATTTGTCCTAGTTAACAAAGTTACAAAATGAGCTAGTAAATAAAAGTAGATCTTAGCAACTTATATTTATGTTCAACTTCAGGTATATTACAACATAACATACTGCATATTAATAAGCACTTTCTTTTATACAAACGTTGGCTTCTTACTTTTAATTCTAATATTCACAGATCATGTAATAAGTTGTAAAATATTTAAATACTCTTCCGTATCAAAGCAAATCTACTCTGACCTATTTCTTCGATCTGAGTTTATTTCGTACCAAAACTGTGACACTTTCAGCAAAAGCGTTTCCTCTATTTACCCCTCTTTGGTACTAACGTATCTTTGACAATTTAAACAAATTATTTATATTGTAAAAAGCATTGAGAAAATAGAAATAAAAAATAATGAGAAAAGAAAAGTAAAGAAAAAAAAAGGCTTTCAGAAACACTAACAAACGCCACACGGCGCAATCAAATCAGTGCACACATTTAAATGTGCGACTTTTGAGAAATAGCGTTAAGGTTACCGATTTCGCAAACTTAATGCAAAAGCTTTATATTTAAAGACATACGGTATTTTTTACGTTATTTCTTGCGAATGCGCTGCGAAGTTTAACTAGCATTTGAGTTATGACTATTTTCATTTTAGTTGAATAATTAGCATCTTTTTCAAAAAAAGTTTTAATTGCACTTTTTTTGAAAACTTGTCGAATTGACTAATAACATATTCGCAGTTTCTTTACCTTTGAGTGAATGCCTTCATCACAAAGATTATCAAAGTGAACTTTATTCTTTTCATGTAAAAACTTTACGTTTGACACAATATATTGGGATTTAGATCTTGTGCCGTTAATTTTATTTCAAAATTCCATTTTCTTAGAAAAAGAAAATTTTAACTAATAATTTTTATAATTTAAATTTAATAGCTACATTGCATCAGCACATTTTTGCGTAAGTTGTTCAAAGTTATTGAAGAAACAGTTTTAAATTTGAAAATCCTACAATACAATTTATATATAATGCTTTGATTGAGCAACTGGATAAATTATTAATCTATCTGTATTTCTAGATTTACCACTTCACCCTTATAAAATAATATTTATACATACAGCAGGCATAGAATACGTAATAATTGACATTCATTGAATAATTTACATGTTGCGCGACTGGTTTACCGTTTCTCAACTACTGAACTGCAAACATTTGATCAATGGTTTGCTCATTACTCATTTATCCTATACTATTTACTTTAGATTTTCCCTTCACTTGTTAGAAATTTTCTATTTAGTTTAGAGAAGCAGTCTAAAATACATTGAAGTTTAAAATTTAATGAATTTTATGGTATGTTCACAACTATTTATTTCTTAGAAAGGACACTTTTTCAAAAGAACGTACATATACATAATAAGCTATAATAAAAATTATATTTTTGAGTCGGGATCCTTAAAATTTAAGTTTATGCTTCAGATAGCAAGGGAAAATATTGAATTAAACTTGTGATTTAGTGGCACAAAATCCAAAAATAACAAATAAAGTTTGTAAAATGGGGCAAACGAAGTAAATAAAAAATTAAATGCTTTAAACACGTATTTTAATAATTAAATTATAAAAAAATATATTTTTATATTATAAAAATAGCATTTTATTGGGATTCCTGAAAAGAGTTATGTGAACAAGTTTGTACATTTTTTTAAACACATTAGTCTCACAGACATTTTCCAAATTTTTTAATTACTCCTTAAGCTGAAATTAGTTTATTACAATTTAAGAAGAAAGCAAGAAAATAAGCTATACATTAGTTGTTTATTTAAAAATTTAAATATTTTCTTAAAAATGTCAGTATGTATTAAAAATTAAAATATTTATTTAAAAATTTCAGTATTTATTTAAAAATTTACATATTTATTTTAATATTATCTTATTTTAAATGTATGCTATCATGCTTAGAAATCATAATATATAAAAAAAATATTTTAATAATAGCATTTCAAAAATGAATTGCTCATTTATCATTATTTCTAATAAGTAATTGATTATATATAAAAAACTATATTGATTATGCGTAATTGATTATATATAACAAATTATATTGATTATGCATAATTGATTATATACCTAAAACTTTGAAACATTTGGAGAAAAAATAGGTCAGGTATTGAGACTGTTTCTTACAAGAATACTCCCTGTATCCTTAACGTGGGCACCGAAAGGCAAACGAAAAAGAGGTGAACCAATGCTCAAATGGGGAAGAAAGGTGGAAAGACGACAGGTGGGATGGACAAGGTCGTCTGAATCGAGAATTTGTGCAACAGACAGAGTGAACAGCAGCACGAACTAGGTTAAGTAAGTAATACTATTTATCTCATTTTATAACTGTATTTTTTTTAAAAAAGGACAAAAATTTTTAAGCTTGGTAATTTTTTTTGGTTAATAAATATAAACAATACCATGGTAATATTAGGTAAATAGTTTTTACCGATATTTGTTATATAAGCAACTAAAAGATTTAAGCAAGTCTTAAAGTTAAAAAAAGTATTTTTTTATCAAAATATTCTGGCTACTATCGGTATAACCTAAAATTTAGAAATTTACATCTAAGAATAAAATTTATTATGATAATCAAAACCGAAATATAAAAAACGTTATAGAAAAGAATACAAAACATTTGGTTATTGTTTTTTTTTAAATTGTAAAGATGAACTATCATATTTTTTAAATAAACAGCTAAGAGACGTAGGCATATCTTACAGTCAAAAATTATTTTTTATTAAAGCATTTTGGCTATTATCGATATATCCAAGAATTGAGAAATTTACTATTAAGAATAAAATTTACAATGATTTAATCAGAAACGAAATGAAAAAAGCATTTTAGATTAAATTACAAATGCTTTTATCCACCTAGGTTACTATTCTTTTAATAGTAAAATAAAATATCATATTTATGTGTTAAATAAGCAACTAACAGATATAGACATGTCTTACAATTAAAAAGTATTTTTGTTTGAAATATTTTAGCTATTATCGATGCAACCCAAGATTTAGAAATTTAAATTTAAGAATAAAATTTACAATAGTTATAATCAGAACCCTCTAAAAGATGTAAGCATATTTTACATTTAATAAGTACTTTTATGAAATTATTTTGGCTATTTTAGATAAATATCCTAAGATTTAAAAATTTGCAATGAAGAAAAAAATTCACAATGGTTATAATCAGAACTGGAAAAAATAAAAAAAATATATTAGAATTTTTTTTAATAGTAGAATGAAGCTCTATAAGTGACTTCAAAGATCACTTAGACACTAAACTCAAATGCTTAACGATGATGAAATAAGATCGATTTAAACTGTCCTCCCTTGGCATCAGTGGAACAATCCTCCCGTGCTAGTCTTAGAAAATCGCTCTCTTAGCCATCGCCACAAATACCGCGTGAACTTGCAAAGTTGGTAGAGAAGTTTCTTCCTCTCTTCCAATGTGGCTTCAACTTGATAAAACTTTTCCGTCGGACCTCTAAATTAAAAATATCTAATAATTCGGGTAATAATTAAATAACTAAAACATTTAAGATTTTTGTCAGTAGAAGTATATTCATTTTGAAATTTATACAATTTATTTATGATGAAGGACAGATTTAAATATTATACTAAGAGGTGGATTATACTATTGTTAAAAATTTCGTTCGCTAATTATGGATATGCTCAATCATCAGGTGGGTGAATTATTTCTTATAAAAGTTTAATAGAATTTAAAAAATAAAGTAATTTTTATGTATATCATAAATTTTACTATACGCTTTGAATATTATAAGTTTTTGAAAATGTAGAAACATTTTAATAATACAAGACAAAAATTAATTTTGTAAATTATTATTAATTTTTAAGTAATTTTTATATCGCGTGAACTCATAAAGTAAGCGGAGAAGTTAAATACTCTGTTTGAATGTGGCTTCAACTTCAAATTCTGCTAGAATTCACAATTAGAAATCGGGTAAATCATTGAATAATAAAAGCATTTTATTGTTTTGTTGATAGTGATGCATTCAATTTGAAATTTATACAACTTATTTATGATGAAAGGCAGATTGAAATATTATTAGAATAAGAGGATTATACTATTGTTTAAAAATTTCATTCGCTAATGCACAATCATCAGGGGGGTGAATTGTTCCTAAGAAATTTTTAATAGAATATTTTGCAATGAATTTTTTTTCATCATATCATATATTTAACTGTACGTTTTAAATATTTATAAGTTTATGAGAATGCTGATCACATTTTCCTTACGTGAATCAAAAATTTATTTTGCGAAACATTATTTAAAATAAGAATTGATTATAGTAAATATTTTAATGATCATTATTAATATATTTAATTTAAACGTGACCCACACCTGCTAAATAAAAATGTTAAAAAATCTAAGCAAAATTACTTAAAGGTATCATTACCTGGAACAGTTCCAAGGCATTTTAAAAACGTAACTTCACCTTTTAACCTGGCTTAAGTTATTTATTAGCAATATTAGGACAAGAAAAATAATAATAAAATCACACCAAAGTTTTCACTCTCAATTGACTAGAAATAATATGATTCAAAGAAAATGTAAAATTTCCACTTATAAATTTCTTAAACACCATCCATGCTCGCGTTGCAGTTAATGGAAAATTATTAACTTTTTCAGTCTTTAAACAACCTTCACGCAGTTTAATCAGATTGACATGCAATTTCGCAATAAATTAACTGTAATATATATATATATA